CTATAAAGACTCCAACATCAGAAACTTCATCTCTGTCTTCATCCTTCTCTGCTGACCTTATTTCTACAACTAAGAATTCTGCTGTTGTCTTCCCCAATTTTCTGAACTCCAGCATAGGTGTCCCAGACACAGCTGCGTCTTGAATTTCACGTAAATGAGCCGTTGAAATTTTGGGGCATTTGTATGTGTGCGTGCGTGTGTATGTGTACAAAATTAATTTATATTGTTTTTTAAAGTACGCTGTTTGAAACATCTGACTTATGTCCATGAACCCAAGGCATGTAATGGCATATTTTGAGCAGACAAAATAATGAAGCAAAAAAATATTTTTGCATATCATTGAGAATTCATGAGTGGAAAGGATCCAAGATGACAATAGATAGAAGCTACACAGTTTGCTGTTAACAACAAAATGTTACCTGTTAACCTGTTAAAACATCTGTCACATCTCAAGAATTTGTGTGCACAAAGCCATCATAGGGTTTTTTTAAAATTCATGTAAGATTGAGGATCATTTCTGTTTCCTTTTCTCCAAAAATGGCGAGAAAGAACTTCTTGAAGTATCTTTCAGAGCAAAGCTTTTAAAGGCTTTTATTAAAGTGGGAGAAAAACTGTTCAGAGATATAGAAAGCAATGTTTGGTTCTTGGTTAGCACATTTACTAGGATCTGTTTTTTCTCATAATTTAGAAATTTTCTATTTTGTTTTCAAATGTTCCTATGTTCTATATTGATGTGTTGTAAAAATGCAATCTATGGTGTAAAATTGTACATAATCCCAATTCCTTAACAGTATGGACTAAACCATGTGTAAAAAGAACTACTCTGTCTTATTTATGTTTTGTTTACATAATGTATAGTTTTTTAAGTATTTTAGTAATTTTGGATAAGTGTACTGTTTAGCAATAATGCAGAAGGATCTGTATGTAATAAACAAAGTTGCTGTATTTCTGTTTCATAATACTCTGTGGAAAAAGGATATTTGTCAGTAAGATATCAACATACTTGCATTAAGAAATCAATGGAGGTTTCCAAATATTATAAGCATAGCTATTTAGACATGGTCCAATATAACATGGCATTTACCCTTAAGTAAATGGCTCACAATTATTATTATTATTTGGCAACTTTTCCAGCTCTTCTGTGTATCATTTACAGACCTCCTAAAGTGTTATAATATAGTGGCCATAGAACATGAACTTTTGTTCACATTTTCAAATGGGTTATTAAAAGATAAACATTTCTGTTTGTCTTGATTAAAATGACAAAGAAACCTAACTAGCTAATACACACTATGATGTACCATGTACAATGATGTAATAATTGTGAGATAGACAATGAAGAGAGTTGACTTGCTTTGAAGAATAGCTGAAATTGAAAATATTACTCAGTCATCCGTTCCTCACCATAAATTCCACTTTATTCATACTTTCATTAGGATTTCACAAACAAATACTTTAAAGGGCACAGTTTGCATCACAAGTTTTTTTCCTATCTCTCCCCACTTTTGTGGACATATGTTTAGTTGTAGTTCTTATAAGACAAGTATTAGCAATGCAATAGCCACCAACCACTTTATCTTCAAACACAACCAATAGCTCCTGCCACTTCAAACCACCTTCTAGCCTTTATTTTCTATTATATCATTGCAAATTCAAAACACTGTATTTATATCTGGAACAAATCAGAGAGAAATCAATGGTTTGACTATGGGTTGTATCTTCTGATAACAAGCTTCATATTGGTGGTTTGCAGCTGTACCTCTTGGATGGAATCCCTGGATCTGCTCATGGCTAAACACTCTTAATCTGAAATTTACTTCCAGATTTCAGAATTAGGATTTTCTTCCTCTTGGATCAGAAATAGGAGCACTATGGTTAACACAGAATTATCATAGTACATAACTGTCAAACATTCCTCTCATTAAGATTATTTAAGTCTACCTTTGGGATTATAAATATATTCCCATAATGCCATAGCAACATATAAAAATCTTAAAAGTGTATTTTTTACAAACAAGGAACTGAGATTTAGATTTTTTCACCAGAGAGGACATGAAGTGAGCCTTAGAGTATAATATCGCTGATTCCATAAGGGAGAAGGGTATATAGGTCTCAAACCTTCTTTCCAGAAGCCTTCTGAAGCTTCTCTCTGGTTTACCCCCCTGATTTGGAATAGTATCTTGAGACTTCCAGTTTTCCACACCTGTTTCCTGGGTATTTCAGTTATCGTCTTCCCCATAATCCTGGCAGAGGGGGTATTCAGCAGGTTCTGACCAGTTCTGGAGAACCAGTAGCGGAAATTTTGAGTAGTTCGGAGAACCAGCAAATACCACCTCTGACTGAAGATTTGACAGTATCCTTCCCCTGCCACGCCTACCAAGCCACACCCACACAACCGGTAATAAAAAAATTTGAATCCCACCACTGAATCCTGGTGTATGCCCCAGGATGTCTTTCTGAAAATTAAACAGTAATGCCCCGCTTCTCAAAAAAGGAAATGATATTTATATTGCAATCCTTTGATCATATCACTAAAAATATTAAGATGAGATGATTCTTCTTTGGCATGTATGGCAGATGTGGTTACTTAATATAATTTCTGAATTGATACAACATTCTTTGCAACTTGGATCTCCTGTTTCTCTACAGTTGCTTTACAAATAGCTTGGAATCAAGTGAGACAAATAAATCTGCGGTGTCTTTTTCTTAAAAACAAACTGGTGCCCCAGTAGTGGGATTCATTTTTTTTTTACTACCGGTTCTGTGGGCGTGGCAGGGGAAGGATAGTGTAAAATCTCCAGTCAGAGGTGGTATTTGCCAGTTCTCCAAACTACTCAAAATTTCCGCTACCGGTTCTTCAGAACTGGTGACCTACTGAATACCACCTCTGCGGTGCCCAGGAAATAGTAACTAATCCTTCCTTTCCTAATGCAATTTTCTAGATTTGTTGCCTCAGGTTATTGTTAGCTGCAGATGACATTGTAACTTGTTGCTCTTTTGCTGAAAATGACCCAGTTAAGATTGCTTAAGAGGGCATAACACTGTTAATACAGTGGAATTTTATGTTCCTGATTCAAATCCTGTATGGTAATTTTAAAATAATGAAAGGTTCTGAATCTCTTATAATATAACCAGTTGGATCTTTCATCAAATAGATCTTCATCAAGCACTTCAATTACCCCTAAATATATAACAGGCCGCAGCTTAAGTATCTAAATTTGAATTAAAATTGCCAGATTTAGATGTAAAATTAAATGCATATTTAATAAAGATATTTTTAAAATTTAGACACCACTTCTTTTTAAAAAGCCCCTAAATTGGTGTATGTGAATGCAATAGCGATGTGACACCAGTGCAAAATACCATGGAATATAGAACAAGAAAACACCATCTGCACACAAAGTTCATTGACAAATATGGAGGTGACAAATATGGAAACTAAGGGAGATTGTTGTTATCTAACCCCCTTGTGCAGAGGTCTCCAAACTTGGCAATTTTAAGACTTGTGGACTTCCAGAATTCTCCAGCCAGCTGGCTGAGGAATTCTGTGAGTTAAAGTCCAAAAGTTTTAAAGTTGCCAAGTTTGAGGACCCCTGCCCTAGTGTCTTAGTATTCCTACCAGTACCCTCACCTACCACTCTCACATAAGGGTGTGAGAGGGAGTTTAATCCCTAAAGGCAAACTAAATGATAATAGCAGATCTTTAACAAATCCTATTGTAAAAAAACCTGAAGAATCTAGAAAATGAAGAGCATATTTTTAGCAGCTTTTCCAAAGCCCTTTCAACAAACAAAATGCAAACGATTGTTTTAGGAGCCTTTAAATACCTGATTAATTGTGCTATTTCTTTCATATTAATATTTGAATTTTTTGTTTTCCATTTCATTTTGTTGTTGTGAATTATTCTGAATAGGGTTTCAAAAGAGCAAAATGTTGATAGTAAATTATTTAATCCCCTCCCCAAAGCTTTTTTCCTAGTTATTCTTTCTCTCAGTACAGGTAGTCCTCGATTTACAACAGTTAATTTAATGACCATTCAAGGTTACAACATCATTACTGAAAAGGGTGACTTATGATTATTTTTCACAGTTACGACCATTGTAGCATCCCCATGATCATGTGATCAAAATTCAAAATTCCTTGGCAACCCAAAGGAAAAAGGCAAGCAGAAAGACATATTCTGAGAACAAAATGTAAGGATCATTAAAAGTTTTTGCACCCTAAAGGACTACAACCATATCCAGAAAGGGAGTGTGTACACAATTTATACCAGATTGGGCAGGACTGAAGACAGACCATAATTTCAGATCTTATTTTTCTTTAGACAACACTAGCAAAAATTAGAAGCTAATGAGTTGTATATACATAGGCACTATCAGATGACAAGTTTTAAATACAGGGAAAATTGTATTTCATCCTTTAATATAATGTCTATTGCCTCAGATTTAACTCCTGGTAATTTTTATAGACACATTCTTGCAGTTTTCTCAGCATAATGTAGAAGTATTTTTCATTGTGTTCTCCAAGGAATTTTTTATTTCTCAGTTTAGCTCATAGCTCTGGATTTCCCAGGTGGTCTCTATAATCCTGATGAATGTTCTAGATCATCCAAGGTTAACTAGATTCCCTTTTTGTTTATGGAGATTCTTAGACATCCAGGTCATGATGGTCCCAAAGGTGCTTTTTCAAGAGGCAGCTGGACTTTCTGGTTTTTCTTTGAAGACTTTTTGCTTGTCATCCAAGAAGCTTCAGAACTGAAGAAGCTTCTTGAATAAAAAGTGGAACATCTTTTTTTAAAAAACAAAGTCCAGTTACCTCTTGAAAAAGCACCTTTGGAATTCCCTGTTTGTTAGTATTGCCATGGATTTCAAGTAGACTGGTTTTTGTTTTTTTGTAATATTTATTATATATATAAAAATGATATAGTATGTTACTGTTAATCTTATATTGAATGACGATATATAAAATGAAGATACATAGGCTATAGCTTCAACATCTTAGGCATGTCATGCAAAAGAGGACAGTTACATTTTCTTAAGCAAGTATTTCTGAAAATATTCATATTAGCTTGTATTTTCTCTCCCATATGCTCCTAGAAATTACTTAAAGTAAGCAAGAACTTAATTAATTCCTCCTGCTTATGGTGCATAGGGTGGTGGCAACAGGCTGCTGGAGCTCTTATCATAGGCTGGTGGGGCATCTGGCACCTGTGTCAATGAAAGTTGAGTAAGGGAGAAGTTAATAATATGAAAAGCAAAGTACAATTCCCAATGCTGGTATAAAATTTTTATATATATATTCTTTATATTCATAAAGAATATGTCCTACATTTGTATATTCTTTATATTCATAAAGAATATGTCCTACATTTGTATATTAAACAGTCCCATTCCAGTCAAAAATTGATTTCCCCCACAACTGAAAAACCAGTAGGCCAGGGATGGAGAACCTTTTATGGCTCACTCAGGAATTCTTGAAGTCCATAAGTGATAAAAGAGCCAAGTTTCCCTACCCCTGTTTTAGAGGACCTAATTTATTAATCTTTCCATTGGACAAACTGGATAAATTAGAGAAAATAATAAATTAATTGGGTACAATTGACTTCAAAAAGGACAGAAGTCCAGAAATCAATAGAATATTTCAAGTGCCCAGACGATCTTGTCACTGACCTCAAGGTGGCAGCTTAAGAAAAGGAATTTCAAAAATGAATTTAGTAACAGCATAGCTGAATTAGAACATCATAGCTGAATTAGAATTCAAAGTTTTAAAACACAATTTCTTGTAGATTAAACAATTTGGCTAAATAGCCAAAACTAAAAAGTAATTAAGGCAGACATCCTTGTATTGTCAGTCAAAATGTACAAGATACATTTTGACTGACAATACAAAGATGTCTCACTTAAGTAACCACTTAAATCTGTTTCTTTTTCCCATCCTGCCCTTCTCTTTCTTTGGAGGGACCTGCTGTCAAGTACTAACAGGGCAAAAAGGAACATTTGCATGTACATAGCAGTGTTTGGCTCTCCAGGACTGTTTTTCTTGAAGCCAAAACCCCAAAACACAATCATAAAATGAGGGAAAGTAACTGCTCTGTAATTCATCCAAGAGTTGGATGAAATTATGCTGCAGTACAAATCTGTAAGTAGTTTACGAACAAGTAAATAAGTGTAATAATCTGATCACCATTGGATAATCAACAATGCCAATGGTAACTGAATATATTCAATAAAAATGGAAACATGTTTATAAGTAAAATGTAAGTCTGAAGGGACTGGATATCTATTTTGCACGAGCTTTCTGCAAAATTGGGTGGTGGCGCAATGGTTAGACTGCAGTACTGCAGGCTACTTCTGCTGATTACCGGCTGCCTGCAATTTGACAGTTCAAATCTCACCAGGTTCAAGGTTGACTCAGAGTTCCATCCTTCCAAGGTCGGTAAAATGTGGACCAGATTGTTGGGGGCAATATGCTGATTCTGTAAACCGCTTGAAGAGAGCTGTAAAGCACTGTAGAGCGGTATATAAATCTAAGTGCTATTGCTATATATAATGTGTATTGACTGCTAGGAGAATGAAAGCAGACAGAATTTTTACTTTATTTTTTATTTTAGTATTATATTCACCAAGCTAAATCCAGCCCATTCTCATTTAGGACACATATCTCTCCTAACTCTCTTTTTAACTGTCTAAACTGTACCTCCCTAAAGCATTTATCAAAAGTAATGATAGCAATCATCTTACCACATGACTATAGCTGCTGGTGTATTCCCGCAAGGGCAGCTTGAAGTCACTGAGGGAGCTTCTGCCTTCGGAGGTGGTCAGGGAGGCCAATCCAAAATTCTTACTCTTTGGCACAAAGACCAATATTAGAAAGAGTTCAACAGAACAAAAAGGCAGAGTATTAATCAAGTGAATAGAAAAAAAGAGATACGAAAGGGATCTTGAAATGCAAAGGAGGAAAACATACTGCAACATTAGAAACACTTTTCCGCAAGAAGAGATAATGCATTCTGATTATGTTATTGCAAAATGATTCATGGGAAAATGGCTATTGAGTAACTCAACTCATAGCTGCATTTGTGCCCAGGCCCAGCATCAGTGGCTGTTCAGGCTTAGATCAGATGTTCCCAACCTGAAGGCCTGTGGTTTAGATCAGGGATCGCCAACCTTTTGGACCTCAGGGACCACCAAACTCATAATTTTAAATCCCAGGGACCACTAACTGGTTCTGTGGGCATGGCCTAATTTGTGGGTGTGGCTTGGTAGTCATGTGACTGGCTGGGCATGGCTTGTATGTAAATATAAATATTTATATAAATATTGAATTTTTTTATAAAAAAAGAGCAACTTTTACCCAAAATCAGGCAAAGCAGGCAGGCAGATTGAGTTGCTCACAGAATCACAGATTCATTCAGAGATCTATCTATCTGCCATCGGCTAGCTCAGTCTTTCAAATTTCCTTGCCGTGAGTCTGCACTGAATAATAGAACCTTCAGTCCTAAGGGAGCTTCGGCTGTGCTTAAAAGCAGAGCTGAAGATCTAAAGACTAGCTAGAAAGCAAGAAATCCAACCATTTCCTGCTTCCCAGCTAATCTAAATCTCCCAGCACAGCAGAACAGATGATGGTCGGAAAAAGCAAAAATAGCAACTTAGCAAGCAAGTTTGCCGTGTAAGGAGTGAGTGGGCGGGGAGGTTTCCCATGGGCCATGTGGGTGGTGCAGCCTTGTGTTTCTGCGCAGCCTGGATTAATTGCTTTGGGGGGTGCTCTGGGGGTGACATTTCTCTGCGGCCCACCAAAATTTTCTCACAGCCCACCGGTTGGTGACCACTAGTTTAGATCTCTTTAAAATTTGGGTGCAGCTCTCGGAGAGCCATCCAAATTTGCCAGCAAACCATAATTTTGCATATTACAGCAATGAGAATATATTGAAGTAGTAATTGTTTCAACATATTCTTAATTAAATCAAATCTGATTTGTAACTGAATCTAATTTGTTGTTCCATCCCAAACACGCCTTCTATTTGCTTCCAGGTATACTTCAAAGTACTGGTTATTACGCACAAATTCCTACATGACATAGGGTCAGCACTTTTGAAAGACTGTCTTATTCACACAATTACTATCAATTCCATCATGTCAACAGAGGAGCATGCTCCAGATCCATCTTTTCGGGATTGTCATATAATGGGGCCCAAAGAATAGGTGTACCTGCACTCTAGAGTATCATACTGCCTTGAGATTTGGTTGGCCCCAATTCTGTTTCTCTTTTAGAAAGCCTTGAAGACCTGGTTATTTTCCCTGCAAGAGACTAGAAGAGTGAAGTTCACACTATTGGTGAAGGATGCATTGAGGAATATTATCTTGTGGTGGTAGCACCAACAGCCCCGCTGAACAGGAGCCCGTGTGGCCGCTGCCGGCCCACTTCAGTGGAGACTTGTTGCCGCTTGAGCATGTCGCTCCCGGCCTCCATTTTGCTATCAGAGGCCTTTCCTGCATCTGAGAAATGTGTTCCGAATTGATGCACGTGGCACCCTCCCCCAGCCTCATTTCGCCGTCAGAGGCTTCAGGAAAGGCCTCTGCAGCTGATAAAACAGCTCCGGATCCAGAGCTCTTTCATGGGCTGCACAGGCCTTTCCTGAAAGCCTCTGATGGTGAAATGGAGGCCAGGGGTGATGTCAAGGGGTGGGATGCTACTGGTTCGGCCCAGTTCTATAGAATTGGTAGCTCTGAAGAGCAGCAAACACCAAACTGGTTCGGTGTCTTCTGCTCTGTTTGGCCCAGCTGCTTGCCTGGGCTCTTGGCTGTCCTTTATTTCCTGCTTTTTCAACCTCAGCTGCTTTGTGCAGCACAGCTGAGGTTGAAAAAGCAGGAAAGAAGAGGATTTTCAAACACTGTGCACCCGCGCGCAGCGCATGTCAGGCTGTCTGGGCAGCACAGCTGAGGTTTTTAGGAAATGGTCTACACACATGTGCAAAATGCATTCTCACCAGGGGTGGAATTCTACCTGCCAGAGAACTGGCAAATCACATCCCTGGCTCGCCCCGCCCCACCCCGCCCATTCACTCCTTACCTGGCATGTCTGCTATCAAACTTGCCTGCTAAGTTGCTATTTTTCCTTTTTTCCCCCCGACCATCAGCTGTTCTGCTGTGCCGAGAGAGTTAGATTAGCTGGAAAGCAGGAAACAGTGGGATTTCTTGCTTTCTAGCTAATCTAAAAGCAAAGCTGAGCCTGAAGCTTCTATTATTCAGTGCAGACTCAGGTAGCAGATGGCAGAAAGATAGAGTGAATCTGTGATTCTGTGAGGTAACTCAATCTGCCTGCCTGCTCTGCCTGATTTTGAGTAAAAGTTGCTCCTTTTTTATAAAAAATTCAATATTTACATAAATAGTATGTTGTGAGTTAATTTTGTGAGTTTGCTTGCTAGCAAATTTTGAGTTTGCTTACAAACAAATTGTATGTGACAGACTCAGGTAGCTGATTGCAGAAAGATAGATCTCTGAATGAATCTGTGCTTCTGTGAGCAATTCAATCTGCCTGCCTGCATTGCCTGATTTTGGGTAAAAGTTGCTTTTTTATTAAAAAAATCAATATTTATATAAATATTTATATTTACATACAAGCCATGCCCAGCCAGTCACATGATCACCAAGCCACACCCACAAATTAGGCCACACCCACAGAACAGGTTGTTAAGAAATTTGAATCCCACCCTTGGGTGATGTGCACAAGTGGCTGCAAGCAGTTGCAGAAGAAGTCGGCAGGCAAGGGGAGGCAGGTGTCAGCGTGTGCAAGGTCTGGTTGCAACTGTCCAAAGGTAAGCAGCTCCCCACCCTCCCTATCCCCACCTTCACTTGATTTTTACTCATGCGTCTCACCCTGCCCTGTGCAAGCAGGTGCAACAAAGCGGACGGGGTCTTATTTTTGGGGAAACTGTGTGTGTGTGTGTGTGTGTGTGTATGTTTATGTCTGTATATATATGTGTGTGTGTGTGTTTGTATACACACACACACACACACACACACACACACATATATATACATACATACATTGGTGAGATGGACAGCCATATAAATTGATAAAAACAAATAGCAAAACTATGAACACACTCTCCACAAAATCAATGAAGTGCCAGTTGAGCTGTTGTCCAAATGTAGCGAACAAGATTGTGGCTCACCAGTTAAGCACATTATGTGAATGTAATTACAAAAGGATATTTAAACAGCTCCACACCAGAGTGTAGTTCCTTTGGCAGTGATTCATTACAGAATATTTTTATGTATCAAGGAAAAAGAGGAACATCACCTGAATCAGATAGTATGGATTCTAAGCAGGCTTGAGTTTAGCATATTTTGTAGAAATTTAGAAGTGTTCAAAGAGGTGGGTCTAATGAATAAGCAATAAGAAGGCAGTTTATCCTTACCAAAAGCCTTGTATAACCACTGTGCCTTTTACAACACCAACAGCCAAGAATCAGTAAAACTGCAAGAAGAACTATTAGAATTCCAATACCTGTAGCCCTGTTGAAAAAGACAAATAGATCTAATTACTGCTAAGGATTTGGAATAACTATTCTACATTTCAAAGGTACATGCAGAGGAAAAAGAGATTTCATGCTTTACAAAATATAGCTTTATCATTTAAGTGCAGATAAAATAACAGTTGTTATTAATAAACACATAGTTTTATAAGGAATGTATTAATATTCAAATGAATTCAGATAAATTTCATTTATCTATTAAAAACTATATGTTAGAAATTCATGATTAATTCCATGTTCTGTCTGTCAAATATAGAGACAGGAAGCTGAGGTATCACTCAGAGAAAATCTAAATGTAATATCTCTATTAATCTACAACTCTACAGGAAGGTGTGAAAAGGCATGGTGTGGAGGTTAACTCAGCCTGTCTCCGGGGGATTCTGGCCTTGATCAGACTATCGTATTAGTTTATTGCACTGTATTATATCATCTATTATAATATCTTATATTCAGTTATGGTATTTTTGTGATATATGCTGTAAATTGCCAATGAGTTGATATATAAATGACAAGCATACCTATTTATTTTATTAAATATAATTATTTAGCAACTATAAAAAAATCAGGAAATGTCTGCCAGTGTCTTGGTAGACAGGACCAAGAAATCAACTTTAGAAGAAGGCTGAAACTGCATTTATTGAGAATCTTGCAATTCTGATTGTGCTATACTTCCTCTCCTTTCTTATATTTTTGTGAATTAGGGAAGTGCTATCGCAGCCACTTACAAATACTGCCTGCTTGTTGTGGACTTAAAACGTTTCCCTTCGTTGCTTTGGTAACAGAGCTCCCATATCTCTGTAAAATAACCTGTAATCCTGTACAAATGTGGATAAAAGTTGGTTGCATTTCCTGGTGTTGAAATGCTTACCCATAGTTAGTTCATAGTACAATCTACCATAAACTTTGCTATATATTTTCAATCCCACAATGAAGTGGGTAGCAATCGTTAAATGCCTCTGCAATTCCACAAGTGAACCATATGTAGCAGTGGTGGGTTTCAAAATTTTTTACTACCAGTTCGGTGGGCGTGGCTTGGTGGGTGTGGCTTGGTGGGCGTGGCAAGGGAAGGATAATGCAAAATCCCCATTCCCTCCCCATTTCTGGGGGAAGGTTACTGCAAAATCCCATTCCCTCCCCACCCCACTAACCTGCTTTCCAGCTCCGTTCTCCTGTGCAGGGCAGCAAAAGAAGACCCAGCCGATCAGCTGGGACTCGGGAGGCAGCGAATAGATGGAGGTGGGGCCATTCAGAGGTGGTAATTGCTGGTTCACCAAACTATTCAAAATTTCTGCTACCGGTTCTCCAGAACAGGTCAGAACCTGCTGAATACCACCTCTGATATGTAGTACCAGGGAGTCAAAATAGGACGAAAGAAGACAAGCACTCACTTCTGTTGCCCTTTCCCCAAATGAAAAGCACATATTTCACACTGAATTGGGGAGGGGGGGGGAAATGTCCCAAAATGCTTACTCTTCTGCAGAAAGAGAAGTATATCCCTTCCCTCTACCAAAGTTGCCATCTAGGAAATGCTCTCCCCTAGGCATCTTGCTTTGTTCAGGCCCCACCTAAACAAAACAAAACAAATAGAGCAATGTCTGGTCTGTACAGTATATTTCCATGGAATTTTTGAAATGAAATGCAAAACTATAGTCTTACTTTTCAGCAGCATGAAGGTGTTTCAGTGTAACTATAGCACAAGCATCATCATGCCATGTTCTCATCCCCAACCGTCCGAGGAAATCTAAAAGTCTCTTTAAATGTTTCCCTTTTAAAGTACTTTTTTTTCTCCTTTCCACCAACAAGATTTTATAAGGGTTATGAATGATCCAGCAGGCTTTATCAGTGTTGTGGTTGGTGCTGTGGTCAGGGAATGGTATAAGGGACTCCCGTCTTGGTTAAACTAGAGCAGGGGTTGTCAATCTTTTGGACCTCAGGGACCACCAAATTCATAATTTTAAATCCCGTGGACCAGAGACCCTGGGAAAATCCCCCCAAAAAATCTGCAGGAAAATCTCCCCCCCCCCATTTTCCTACTGATCAATCATTCTTTATTTGGGATCTCAGGATACTGTCTCCAGCTCCGTTCTCAGGGAGGGAGGGAGGGAGGGAGAGAGAGAGAGAGAAAGACTGAGAGACTTTTGGCTTCATGCAAGGAAAGCAGCAGAAGCAGCAGAAGTCTTTCTTTCTCTCCCCCAAACTTTGCCAGAAATGAGTCTTTGTGAGACTTGTTGTGTCGGTGCAGCCTCTTGGAGCAGGATGCCTTGCAGGGTCCCAAAGACTCATTTCTGGCAGAGTTTGGGGGAGAGAAAGAAAGACTTTTGCTGCTTTCCTTGCATGCAGCCAAAAGCATAAGAAGAAAGAAGTGGAAAGAAGCAGCCCGGTGGCCAGGCAAGGCGCATGGGGTGCGTGGGGCAAGTTCCTTCCCTTCCCTCACTACCTCATGTTGTTTGCAATGCAAGCGACACAAGCCTTGTGTTCCCGCAGGCCATGTGGGCGGCACAGCCTTGTGTTCCCGCACAGCCTGAATTAATTGGGCTATTAATTAATTAATAGCTTTGGGAGGTGCTTTGGGGGTGACATTTCTCTGCAGACCACCAAAATTTTCTCACAGACCACCAGTGGTGGTAGCCCACTGGTTGGTGACCACCGGACTAGTGGGCCTCCAAGGTCCCTTCCAGACTTATGATTCTATGACAGGGCCCCCCAAACTTGTCAAGTTTAAGACTTGTGGACTTGAACTCCCAGAATTCCTCAAGTCTTAAACTTGACAAGATCGGAGACCTCTGTTCTATGATTTCTATCAGCTACTTCAGCCTTTTGCTGCTGCTCATTTCCAGTTGCTGAGAATAGCCCTCCATGGTAATTCTGCCTGAGGCCTTAGTAGAAATGAAACACTCAGCTTCCATAGAAACATCTCCTCCTATTATCTCTGCCTGGTGCTTTCTGACGTGCTTGTTAGGGCTTGTGCAGATCCCTTATAAGCATGGCCTTTGTGCATTTGAAAAAATACTATACTGCACACTGTTATTTAAAGAACACTAATTTGATTCTTCCCAGAAGGCTGTTTTCATTTCAAAAAGAAAGCTCGTGTGATAATTAGCTTGATCATTCTGTTTACATATTTCAAAGAGGTGGTACTTAGAACATATGATCTGCCCATTGAATGCAACAATTCAATTAAAAATGAAACAACTCGCAGAAGAATGTGAAAGGCCTTTACTTACGGAGTAAACTGGAGAGCAGCTGCCAATCAATTCAAGCTTGCTGGACAAATGCTTTCTAATCAGTATCAGAAAGACAAAAACAGGACTCTAATTAAATTCTTCCAATTAAATTTTGCTGTCAACAGCAGATTATCCAGTTTTCAATGGTATCTGAATGCCAAACCCCTTTTATTTATAAACTGAAGAAATATGGTTCAAGTTATAACAAGTAAAAGGATTTCAGATCTTTGATTCATGTAGCTTCTGATAACTCCGGACCAGACTAATATTTTTACAACCATATCACACAATGTATTTAATATGGAGTGGAACAACTGAGTCTACAGGGAAATAATATATATATATAAACAAAATTAAATGTCCATGCTACAAGACTGGTATCTCTCAACAGAACCTATTTCTCTCTTTTTGCATGTTCTGTGTATTCTCTAAATCTGATTCAGAAAGTGGCTTGAGCAAATGTGGAGATATAGGAGGAACTGTGGTGAAGGAACATAGAAAAAACTCCATAACTTGAACAGAAATACACTCATTTCATTTTGTATATATTCTTAATCAAGGAGTAGTAATGAGCTTTGTTAAGATATGCTTTCTCTAATGTAATCATATCTCAAACCTCTCAATGGATTTGTTTTGTTGTCATTTGTATAAATACCCAAGAAAATCAATCATCCATACTAAATCAAGCTGAATGGTTTAATCTAATTTGTGTGACTTCAGCCTTAGAAAAATATATACACACTTTGGGTCAGCTGCAATTACGCTATGTAAATCCAATTAAAGGCAGTAAAGAGGCTAATATTCTGCAAGATCAGAATCAAAAGAACATTCATTCATTTAACTTTATTTCAAACAAAGATTGCACAATTAAAAAGCAGCAACAAACAAAAGCACCATAAAAATTCATTCGTTTTGATGACTGCCTGTTATAGATACATAGAATGTTAGTTAGTTTTAATACTAAATTTTAAAACACTAACATCTGATTTCACAATAGTCTAAAAACAAAAGTGTGGTATTGTTTAATAGCAAAGTCGTAAATTATGCATTGAAGTGAAATAATGACTCCATCAATTGCATCAAATTTATTTTTCAGAAATCAGGAATTCTACAGAGCTGAAATTTAATATAAAACCTAGCAAACAAAAATTCTGAGTCTTACCAGTTCCTATACATCCAGGGTCTGGCTGAGCTATGAAAGGTTTTCTCATTTTTCCTTAGGATTAGTTAACTCTCATGACTATCACGAGGGAATTCCTGTCAATGCAGCTTGTGATCACTATAATTGGCATGATTTAGCTATAAAATGGCTTTTATTCCTCAGGCTAGCTTCTCCCCCACTAGTTTAAACAACAATACTAAGTCATCTTCCTTAATCTAATGCTCTCCAGATGATCTGTCTCGGCATTTTGGGAAATGAATTCCCAAGACATCTACAGAAAAGCTGGAGGTGGTTGTTTTGACTGTATATTATGGTTGCCACTGTTGCTACTGGCTGCAAGTAGCCTAAACCTGTTTTCTTATTGTTTTAATCAATTGGTTCTGATTTTTTTAGGGCAGGAGTCCTCAACCCCTGGGCTGCGGCCCGCTACCACCAATCTACCACTCATGCAGCCCAGTTCCTCTCTCTCGCCCTTCTAACCTTGGCAACTTTAAGACTTGTGGACTTCAACTTCCAGAGTTCCTCAGCCAGCCAGTGTGGGATTCTACTGGTTCAGACCGGTTCACCCAAACCAGATGTTAATTTTACATCCAGTTCAGCAAACCAGTAGTTCTGAAGAACAGCTGACCCCTCCCACCCTTCCTCTCCCAGAAGTCCCCACAAGGCCAGTTTGGCTCCCAGGTAAGTGTAAGGTAGCCTCCTAGGAGCAAAAATAAGGTGTGAGCCCCCCCGGCTCCACTCCCCCACACAGTGTTCGCTCTTAGGACGCTCCAGGGAGGCTTTCTAGGCAGAAAACAGGGTACGGGGGAGGGGGTGTTGGCGCTGCCCCTCATCCCATTTTTGCTCTTAGGAGGCTCCAGGGAGGCAACTTAGCAACTTTAAGACTTGTGGACTTCAACTCCCAGAATTCTCCAGCCGGCTATGCCAGCTATGCTGGCTGGAGAATTCTGGGAGTTGAAGTCCACAAGTCTTAAAGTTGCCAAGTTTGGGGACTCCTGGTTTAAGTAGAAAGAGATTCCAGCTGAAAATATATTATGCATAGAGATACATGGTAGCTCGCTTTCTTCCTTCCTTCCTTCCTTCCTTCCTTCCTTCCTTCCTTCCTTCCTTCCTTCCTTCCTTCTTTTCTTTCCTTTCTTTCTTTCTCTTCTTTCTCTTTCTTTCTCTTAAAAGGAAGAAGAAAAAGAAAGAGGGAGGGATGGAATGGGAGAAAGAAAGAAAGGGAGGGAAGGGAGAAAGGGGGAAGGGAAAGGAAAGTGGGTAGATGGATGGATGGATAGAGGGAGGGAGGGGGTGGAAGAAAAAGGAGAGGAAGGACCACAAACCCTGGCACTAGACGCAGCTTCATAGATGCTTTGAAACAGCACAGCAACCCAGGACTCAAAGGGACCTCGGAGGTCATCTAGTCCAACCCTGCACCAAAAGCATTGTTAAAGTGAGTTTCTATCTTTTGACTCACCCAGTCACGTGACCACCAAGCCACACCCAGCCGGTCATATGACCACCAAACCATGCTCAGCCAGTCACATGACCACCAAGCCACACCCACAAATTAGGCCACGCCCACAGAGCCAGTTGTTAAGAAATTTGAATCCCACCCCCGGTTAGCAGCAATATCAAGATTTCTAGTTTGGCCAAAAGAAAATGGATATGGGATGTTGTAAGCAACAGTCATCCAACAAGGAATAAGGAAGCTGGGAGATAATAGATCATGTGCATTACTTGTATTAAAACTTCCCAAATGTATTGGACTTCACTCCAGGTGGATGGAGCACCCTATCTTGTAGAGCGGTTGTTGTAGGGAAAATAGGTGAAGAGAGCCTTAGTTGTGCATCTTTTGGCTCTGAATTAAAGATGAGATACAAAACAAATATATCTAAGTTACAAGACTACAGTTCTGTTCACTTCGACATGGGCAACAGATATTTCTGTATAACACGGGTATCAAACTCGCCGCGTCATGTTGCTATCATGTGATGCTTCGCAATGTCTTTTTCCTTTGCAGAGCTGCAGTAGGTGTGGCTTGTGTGTGATGCATCTGGCCTGCGGACCACCAATTTAATACCCCTGCTATATATAACGTAGAATTAGCTATAAATTATAAATTCAATTTAATTGATACGCTGCCCCTCACTGTTGAAGTGACTCCGGGCAGCTATATAGTC